TTTCTCTGTGTAGCCTTGGCTGTCCTGGACTCACTCTGTAGACCAGCCTGGCCTCAGACTCACAGAGATTCATATAGCACTGCCTCCCTGAGTGCTAGGATTAAAGGTATGGGCTTCACCACCCCCACCCCCACCCCCCCCCCACCCCCGGCTAGTACCTTTGTTCTTTATGGTTCAAGTCAAGAGATAAACTCAGGCTTTTCTTTTCCCCTACTCAAGCATGAGGGCACAGTTAACTGATAGATCCAAAAACACTCAAACGAAAATCAAGGGAAGGCAACTATCTAGAGCTTTGATGTTCTAGGGAGAACATGTAAACAAGCAAACGGTTTATCTTTGGGGTTTCTGGGTTTTTCTTTCCTTTCTCTTAGTTGTGGCTTTTCTCTGAGTGCTGAGTCACACTCAGATGACCAAGGGAAGGTATCTTAACTCCGTTCCTTCCCACTTCCCATTTGGGAACATTACAAAAATAGATTAGGTTAAGGGATGCTTTTAACCAAAGACCCACTTCACACCACCACACCTAGAACTATTGCCCCCCCCCCCCCCCGTACTTGTCTGAGGTTTCATTTCGGATCACTGCGTCAGAAGACACTCCGAAGGGTAGGTGAAAGGTCGACGGGCAGGATCCTGGCCGACCAACCTGTTTTCTTTGATTTTGTGGGAGGCCTACCTGCAGCACTGTGTACAAAGTCAGTTTGTTTTCAGATAGGTAACCAGGGCCTGGTGAGGAAGGCAGACTCCGCCGGAGGGGAAGTGTTGAGGTGAGGATTTCAATGGGTTTTCAATTAGCTTTGAAGTGTTCCCTCAGCAGGTGGGATCCTACGGGCACAAGGCCCTTTCAATGTCCCTACAGTCCTTTTTCATTTCCAAAGCACCCAAATCCCTGGATTTAAATGTTCTGAATAGAGAGCCTGTGTTAGACCCAGGCTTTCAATGTCCCGCCCGCTGCCCCTGTCGCTTTCGCCTTTGCCATCTGGTTTTCCTCCCGCTTTTTCTAGTCACCCTCCACAACCTGGAGAGGGGTCTCTGCTGTCAGGCTCCAGCGTGGAGATGATGGAAATGTTGGTTATGACGAAGACTGAGTGTAAATAAGAGCAGCAAGAAATGATGGGGGGTGAGGGGGGGGGAAGCAGGCCCGAAAGACCACAAACTAGATCCCAGCGCTCTGCCAGCCTGGGATCTGCCAGTTCCTATTTTCAGGAACATAAAGCTAGAAAATATGGCCTCCCCACAGCTTCTTATCCAAACTTTGCCTCTTCGGATTCCTCGTCTCAAAAAAACAAAAACAAAAAACAAAAAACCAGCTCTGGGCAGAGGCAGATTTCAAAATGGCAATTGGAGAATTCTTGACAAAATTACCCAACCCATGCCTGATATCTCCTTAGGAAACCCATCATACGGAACAGGGGTTAAACAATCTTCCTGGATGGTCTCTCCTTTCTTCTGACTTCAGCTTCTAAAACCCATTTCTGTGGCATCAGAGTCCTGGTGTGTAGATCCACGGCAGGAGGAAGGAAGAGGAAGCCATCAGTTCCCAGAAGGTCCCAGCCATGGAAACTGGCTTCACTCCCCAGACCTGGCGCCGGCTATCTTTTCCCTCGAATTGCATTAAGCATTGAGCTTAATGCTTCTAGGAAATGTCTCCTTTCTGATATCCAACAAATGATTCTCTTTAACGACACTGGAATGGAAAAAGAAAACCCACATGTTTTTAGAAAAGAGAAAATGAAATCTCTAGTGTCGGCAGTGTTGGAATATGGAAAGAAGTAGAGGGCTTGCCTAGGACAGGTACATCTTTCTAGGGTAGGGTCTCCCTGCTGGGCAGCCTTTCTCTCCATTTTCTATCCGACCATTTTCTATCTATCCATTTTCTATCCAGTGGGCCCCCAGAACCTTCCCATTTCCAAAGCTGGACCTCTCCTTGGGTTCACACTTGCTAAAGCCAAGGAAATCCTAGACAAACCGCAAGATAAAAGCTGAATCAAAAACCTCCCAAGTGCACCTCCATTTCTAACCCTATTTCATTAGCTTCCTGTTGGTACCGAAATGTATGAAGCGAACATCATTTCAAGAACCATTTGGGGGTGTCTATCTGCTAGAGGGAAGGATTTTGCGTGTGAATTTGTTTATTCTACAAACATATACTGAGCATCTTCCCCAGGTAGTGTTCTGAGGAATAGTTTTGGAACAATGAGTAGAACAGACAGAAATCCCTACTTATCCGGCACATCACACCCGCAATTCCAGTACCCAGGTGCTGAGGCAGAAGCTTGTGAG